CCAACCTCAAATGAAAATAAATGGAAAATAAATTGTTGAATTGCAGCGTCGACTCGAATTGCTATACTGCGGTTATGTTATCATTAATTTTTGCCGCTTTGTTGTCTTTTTCGTTGTTCAATTTCTTCATTCGCAGTGAGCGCACGCGCACACTCCGTTTATTCGTCTCCCGTTCTCACTCATCTCGCCGAACAAAAAAAAAGAAGAGTGTACTTCATTTTCAATTATCTCGATCTGTGTGCCTAGTGCCATTCCGAATCGATATTTGAATTAGAATTGAGCATCAAGCATTTATAGAATTAACGTTTTATCGCGAAAGGCATTTTCGGAATCGCTCTATTTTTAGTAAACATTTTCCATAATAATTAAATATGTGTTGCACACTGAGGATTTATTGTCTTCGTTTCCTCTCTATTTTTTCTGCGCCTATCTCATTCTAGCCACATTTTTGTGCCGTTTTTCTCTCGTTTGTTCGTTTGCTCGCCATTATTCAATGCATATCTATATACGTCACTACTGTCACTGTCGCTATTGTTACCGACATTTGGCTCTCGATGTGCGCGCGTGCGAACGCACTTTGCTCTCTCTCTCTCTCTATCTCTATTTTTTTCTGTGTCGTCTCACTGCCTGTTATGTTCACTTGTTTTCCCGGTTTTTCGGCGAGCCTCGATAAATTTATGCAAAAAGCAAAATCTTGTTCGACGAGAGAGAAAATTGCACACTGTGTGTGTGTGAGTGAGTGTATTTCTAAAAAAAAAAACGGAATCAATTATGTCGTATCATGTGTCGTATTAAAAATAACAACAAACAATGCATGCTTGTTTTCTGTGATAGAATCGCATTTGCGTTAGCTATCTGATGCGATGTTGTTTGTTTATCCGATATACGTTCGTTTGCTTTTTCGTTTATTTCTCGTTCGACTACGGCGACGGCGACTTGTGTACTTTTTTCATTATTTCGAATTATATATTTGGTTAATTGTTACTAAATCTGTAATTCGGTCGCATGATCTCGATAGATATCGCTTTTATATACACAATACTATTTTATTTTATAATTCAATTGTTACGAGAGCAGAAAGGAATCCGTGTCGCTGGCGCTCGTGTAGCTCGGCACATCGTACTCTCTTTAAATAGGTTAACTCATACATTTGGATTGAAAGCACACAAGAGAAAAAAAAAGACAACTACAATTAATATTGATTGTGCCATATTTTAATTTTTCACGAGCCAAACTACCATGATTTTTATCGGCAAATGATTACGGCAATAGGAAAATCCAGCTAGCTAACGGCCTCACGCGCATCGACTGTTTTTCCCCCTCTCTTCCATTGGATTTATTCTCTTCTGAGTCTCTTGTTTCATTCGCGTGACTCGAAAAATGACTTCAGAATTGTGTCATAAATATGAAGAGAAAATGCCGTTCTAGTTACGCTTCAGAGGTACGAAACCACCGTAATAATTGATACAATGTTTAAATAGAAGTGCCATAGTTTTCTTTACCAAAGGCAGCAGCAGCAACATAGTTTTAACTGGCATTGCTTGTTGTCACTGTGGTTTCACACGGCCGTGAATACCTTTCATCGAAGCAAAATACTTGTCGTCGATTTTTTTTTTGTTTCGTTGTTGCCCGCATTTGTTTGCTAGTTCATTTGTTGGTTCGTTAGTTGGTTGTTGTTTTTTTTTCGTGTGCGCGTAATACTCCATTCAATTTTGTCTAATTAGAATAAAGTCCAGTTGTTCATGAAGAATTAGTTCCAGTGCGTCGGTGAAGTCGACATTTGGGATGATTGAAACGGTGGCTAATGTTCGGTCGATGTTGTTGTTTTCTTCGTTCGAACATTTTTCGTTATAAATATGATGCGTTCGACTATTGAAACAGAGTAAATCAACAGCAAAAGCACTAGCAGCAGCATCACAGAACAAATAATACGAATTTTTTCTGTTTTCTCTCTATATGCCTGGCAACAATTACTCGCTCTTTTTTTCCCGTCTGTTCAGCGCGACCGAATACATGCTTACGCATCAAAGTTAATTTGTTGTTTCTCCTTTTTTTTGTTGTTTCGTTCCCAATATCTAGTTTTCATACAACGCGTACGTTTTTTTCTGCTCACTTCTTTTTGTTCAGCGCCCATGTGTTTTTTCCCTTCTTCTTTTTCTCGCGAGTCTTTGAGAGAAAAAAAATTGCTCCTTGTGCGAAATGTGCGTATTTATTCTGATTATCGAAAACGCACACATGACTGAGCTATGATTTGTGTACGCAAAACGTTTTTTTTTTCTGTTGTCGCTTCAACAAAACCAAAAGGAAAAAAATCAATTCATGCCAAATACAATCAGATAAACAATTTTCTCGCGATTCTTTTCTCTCTTTCTATATCTCTCCCACAGTTCTGGGCGTAAGTGTTTGTGAAAATATGAAAAGTAACACATGCTTCTCTACGAACAGCACAAACTTCTATTGTTTCTCATTCTTCTTCATTTTTTTATTTTTTTCTTGCATGTGACAATCCATTCACATTCGGTTTGACGCTTTTCACCATATTACATAAGTCTTTCATTTCGTTTCAATCGTGTGTCGCATTTGCGGGGTCTTTTTGCACGCAACTGAATTATTACGACAAAAATCGGCATTCGCTTGTATGTGTGCGCGCTCGCTCAATCGCTTCGCATCAGACAGAATCTATCAATGACACGTTCGACTTTAAAACTTGTAAATTTAATTTCAACACAACTAATGCGGATACGAGTTAAAATTCAAGACGAGTGCAAACATGCGAGAGGGGAAATTAGTGTATTTGCGCGATATACATTTGTGTGTCATTTCATTTCTCGAAATTCATTTCATAAAATGGAATACAAATCGTTCAACAGCACAACATTTTATCACATAACGATGTCATTCAAGCGTATCACTTGATGTGAAACACTAACACTTTGTTTCAAGTTTTTTTTCTACCTTAAATCATTCGAATGGATGGCTCTCCTTCTGAACTCTGCGATTTTCTTTTGCTCGTGTAGAACAACTGACAACAGAAGGCAAAAAAATACGAATCAAAACCGAAATACGCCAAGATAAAGCGATAAATTCTGTCAAGAGCTTGATTTTCGTCAAACAAAGCATAAAGCACCCGACGAAATGGAACAGCAGATTTTGCTTAATTAGATATGGGGGCCGGTTTCCGAATAGCCTATATTACACACTTTTTTAATCAAAGATTTTAGCATGTCATTTTTCGGAATTGGCCTAAGTAGAAAATCGAATCATAGAAAGTTGCCCCAATCATCGAGACATAGGAACACGAACACAAACAAAAAGCACAGCCCTATTGACATTCATTCAATGGCAAACTTTGTGGCGAAGCGAACATGTTATGCTTTTTGCTAACACACTCGTTTGATGTCACATCCAATTAATTAAAGTCGAAAGCGTTGCGTTTGCAACAGAGAACAACCGGAAAGAACAGGAAAAGAGAGAAAAGAATAAACAAACCCATTTCAGAACATATTTGGATTGTGCGTCAAAATATTGAATGCAATCAGATTGATACCACTTAAAAAGTTTCGGTACAGTCGATTCCGATTGTTTACTTATTGATATCAATTGGTCGGGGGGGGGGGGGGGGGGGGGGGGGGGTTTTTTTGGATGCAACGATAAAAAAAT